AACTCAAAGTAGAAAAATAAAGATTTAGATTTTAGTCTATAGTTTTTTTTTTTAATATTTAACTTTCTCACAAGAGTTTTGTTTCAAAGAAGAAACAGATTTAGTGGAAAATTAGTTTCTGACAAAACCATTGGTGATATTTGCAGCCCCGGCCGTTGCTAAGCCAACGTATAAGCGCTAATTACATACTGTGTTACATTAAACATCCAAAAGTTCTGAGACAAAAACACAGGCTATTTTTCTAATCTGCTCCGGTTCAGTCTTCTTCTGTGGCGTTTCCATCAGAGAATTCCAGTTCAAAAACGATCTCTCGGTTTTGGGAAAATAAACAGAGATCAGTTGGAGCCGGATCAAAACCTGTAGCACAGATTTATTCCTGTTAACTTTGGTTAAAAGCAGTTCAGACGCGTTGATTTCCTCTGATTTCCCGGTGTTTCATGTGTGAGAATTTAGAAACCAATGAAACATAAAACAGCGAAACCTAATGAGAAAAATGCTAACCTGGAACGCCATTACATTTACTTGAGTAATTTCTTCAAAATAAAATACTTCTCGGAGTATACTTTTACTTGAGTAGATTTATGAAGAAGAAACTCTTACTATACTGAGCTTATTATTTTATTTTTTTATTATTATTATTATTTTATTGATGGGATAAACTCTCTATACTCAAGTACTTGAGTAGTTTTTTCACCAAGTACTTTTTTACTCTTACTCAAGTAATTATTTGGATGACTACTTTTTACTTCTACTTGAGTAATATTATTCTGAAGTAACAGTACTTTTACTTGAGTACAGTTTTTGGCTACTCTACCCACAACAGCATCGGGCACCAACCTGGTTCAGGTCATAGAAGATAACGCTGAACTTTCCGAACTGCTCGACTCTTCCCGACACGTCCACGTAGCGGTACAGATCGATGGGCAGCGGCGTCTCGTTGATCACTGCCTGCATGCTGGTCACTCTGAAGTTGTTGTAGCTGTAGTCGAACCTGGCGTTCACCAACCCTTCCTCGCTGAAACGGAAAATCTGCCGGCTTGTCAGAGGACCTG